GCGCGGGGGGGGGGGGGGGGGGGGTGTAAAACTACAGCTCCACAGCACTGACGCTCCCTGGCTTTTCCCCTATTCCCATTTTCACTAACCAAAGGCTGGCCAGCATTTCGGAGGTGCAGGGTATTATGCAAGAATCCTTGGCATTTATTCCCATAGATATCCTCTCTGGCTCATTAAAAGGTTCTGGGAACTGTAGTTTCCAGGGACATGTACAAAAGGGTGCTGGGAACTGTAGTTTTCCCAGCCCGCTGTCCCTGCAATGAGGATGCTGTAATGAAGGGGGCTGCACTGTACTACATGACCCCAGCCCTGCAGCTGGTAGTGTGCCTGCTTCCAGTCCTGGGTCTTGCCTGCAAGATTCCTCAGAGTCGGGAAGAACAACCTGCTCCCTGGCAGTCAGCAGATTAAGCCCGTCAGCACGGCACTCCACAGCTTTCCCTTCAGGAGATCCATTACCCAGGGCTCACAGCTCAGTGCTGCATCAGTTGCCACACTGTTCTTACCGCAAAATGTGCAGACAGTTGCCTTCTTGCTAACATATGTAGGGACACTTCTGGGAACTGTATCCTGGATTTGCATGAAGTGCTGGCAGGGGGCAGGAATAATTTTTCTTCCAGCTCGGCAGAGTTGCTGACTCAGCAAACTTCCCCGCCCTGCTCCGTGCTGCCCTAGCAGCACAAACCATGCCAGACAGAACCCCTGCATCCTTCCCTTGTGCTCCCACCATCCCTGTTTGTGTCTGGGCAACAGAGCGCTCAGATTTTAACTTAGCTCCATGCGGAGTTTTACCTCTGCCCCAGGCACATATCACCCGCTGAGGCCGATGTACCAATCCTGCCGTACCTAATCTAACCCTGCCTCTGCCACTCGATCCTGCCGGCCCCAGCTTGGACCTCGGCAACTCATGCCCCATGGTACTCTGTTCAAATGCACTCCTTGGCACGGACACAACCCGAACGAGTTCTCTCTCCAGCGGCTCTGCTTTTCCCACTCCCCCTTAAGCACAGCTGTGCTTGCCAGCAGCTCGAGCATATTAGGAATGGAAAGGAAAGGCTGATGTTTCACCTGAATGTGGCCCAATGCCTTCTTTCACCTAAGCAACTTTCTGGCTCTTCCTTGCCAGGGCAATGCAGCACTGCAGAGACACCGTGGTGCCTTGCAGATACTTTATTTTCTTGCAGCTGGATCTTTGTGCCTTCTGAGGTGGGGTTTTACTGGGGGAAGCAGGTGTATAAAAAGATACATTATGTTTTGCTCCTTCCTTTTCTTCTCGTCCTTCCCTCTTCTTTTACTTACAACTTACTTCCTTTTATCATTACAGGACATAAAGGCAGCGTCACCCTTCCCCCAAATAACCCAGGATTTCCTTCACAAAGACAGTATAAGTGTGTACTTTGCTCATTCCGTGGAGGAGTGCAAAGGGGAGGAGGGGAAGAGAGCGTAACATGGATAAAGCTTTCAAGATTGCTGACCTCCAGCTAATTTAAGCACAGGAACAATTCAGCTGCTGCAGGGTGTAAATTCAAATAACTCTGGATCTCCTTGAATTTATACCAGGAGCTGGCCAGCACTAGAGTGACCAAGAACAGGGAAAGGATGAAAAATTATTTTTGCCCGCCTATAAGGAGCAGACTTTGGCCCAAATTAGTGCCCAGCCCTTGGACCAGTCTTCACTGAGCAGTGGTGTGCATCAAAGATGCTCAGACTAACACTGACCTGAGCTGAAGCATCACAAAGTGCAACACAGCTCTGGGCTGTGGGACTGTTGCCCTCCTACCTCTGGCTCCAAGTCAAACCATGGCAAATCTGAGAGCTCTGCCCTGCACTCTGGTGTGCAAGGGATGCAGGACCCTATCTGTAGTAGCCGCAGCTCTAGTAGAGCATTAGGGTGAGGGCTGTGGCTCTCCGATATGAATGCAGTAGTTGGGTGGCAGCTTATAGCCCCTTATCTCCCCCTCCAAGAAATCTGTCCTGCCTCAGTTTTCTTCCTTTTTCTATCAAGGGTTCACCCTGTCTCCCTTTCCTCCCCTCACAGCCCCTCAGCCTCTTGCTCCTTTTTAGGTCCACCTCTTGTTCTTGACACCTTCCCCACATGCCATTGCTGCTCATGGGTCAGGGATGGTATTCAGAGCGTACCTTCTTCCATCAACACCAGCCTCCATCCAGTGCTTCAAGTCTTGCTCACCCCAGGGCCATGGTATGAAGGGTTAGTTGGTAAACCTAAAGAGGCGTACTATGAGTAAGGAGAGGTCAAGGTACACCACTCCCATTCCCAGAGCCTTCTTTTCTGCAACATACAGCACAAAATTTATTGAAACCCCCCCCAGGCCAGGGTGTTCCCCATAGTAAGTGAAAATCCTCTTTAGGAAGCAGTCAGTCCGAGGTGAATTACCAACTGAAATGCTATGATGAGTCCAGGGTGTGGGCTACGTACAGGCCTGATTTGCACACCATCACCAGACATAGTTCTGAGATGCAACTAGCATGCCCTTGTTAAGGTCCATTAAAATTAAGCAATAGGACAGAGGAGAAATAAACTTAAATAATCCAATGGCTGTTCCTCCTGCTTTGATGATAACTATATATATGTCCTGGTTTTGGCTGGGATAGAGTTAATTTTCTTTCTAGTAGCTAGTATAGTGTTATGTTTTGGATTTAGTATGAGAATAATGTTGATAACACACTGATGTTTTCAGTTGCTGCTAAGTAGTGTTTAGAACAAGTCACGGATTTTTCAGCTTCTCATGCCCAGCCAGCAAGAAGGCTGGAGGGGCACAAGAAGCTGGGAGGGGACACAGCCAGGGCAGCTGACCCACACTGGCCAAAGGGGTATTCCATACCATGTGACATCATGCCCAGTATATAAACTGGGGGGAGTTGGCCTGGGGGGATCACTGCTTGGGAACTAACTGGGCATCAGTCAGTGAGTGGTGAGCAATTGCATTGTGCACCACTTGTTTTGTATGTTCCAATTCTTTTATTATTATTGTTTTTGTTTGTTATTATTGTTATTTTCTTCCTTTCTGGCCTATTAAACTGTCTTTATTTCAACCCACGAGTTTTACTTTTTTTTCCCCCGATTCTCTCCCCCATCCCACAGGGTGGTGGTGGGGATGTGAGCAAGCAGCTATGTGGTGCTTAGTTGCTGGCTGGGGTTAAACCACAATATAAAACACATGCACAGAAACAGAAAGACAAGAGCAAGCAAGAGTTTACACAGGGCAGTGTGACAGTATAATTCTGTATAGCCCTGCTGCGTACCCAGTTAAATCACAGGGACAATTGCACAGACAGACTGTGGGCAGGAAAAACTGGGCAGCCACTGAGTAGATAGGTGATGGGGCTGAACAAGAGTTGAGGAAAACAGAGCAGGGGGTAAACTGAGAGTTTCTTGGTTCAGCAGCCAGCAAGCCTGCAGTTGCAAACCTGCAGAAAGGTACACACACTGCAGTGCTCTGTACATACCTTGCAGCCTGATGAGTCAGCTGGGTACATGGGATATGATGCATCGCTAACACTGCGGAGCTGCTCTTAAGGAATTGTTGCCTTGTGGAGTGGCAGTGGGAGCAGGGATCACTGTGTGTTGGCACAGACAATGTCACCACTCTAGCAGGCTGGGAACATGTGTCTGGGATTAAACCTGTGCAGTCATTTAGTTAATGAACACACTGTGGCATGAGGCACCAGAGAAGAAACTGTCTCCTCTCTCTTCTCTATAGAAGTGGGGAGGGGAGGACAAGTAATGCTTTTGACATTTTGCCATTAAGCCAACAGTGAACTGGGCAAAGAAAACTCCCTACACTGGACTTGGGGGTAGGAGGAAGACAGTTCACTTGTAGCCAACACAGCCCAGCTTGACTGCCAGCTGAGCCAGTCATATTGGAGCAGGAAGAGAAAGGCCCCATGCCATGCAGGTGAGCTACTCTTTCTCCAGCTCCTTGTGCTTCATGCGGTCTGTGATCAACGTACCTGCATTCAAAATAGTGTGTAAAGTCTGTGTGTACATGTGCATCACTCAGCAGCTCTGCTGGAAGAGTGCTGGGAGGAGGAGAGAGAACAGTCACGTAGCACCCAGTTACGAGCTGGGACCAGTAGAGATGGGAGGAACAAGAAAAGCCCCTGCAGGTAATAGCAATTACCATTGCTCATGCAGTGGTCATTAGTGCGAAAGGACAGCAGTGCTGGCAGAAGAAGGGCTGCTTTGGAATTTGGGGAAGTTTGCAGGGGAACAAAAGGTTTGCTGGCAAGTGAAGTGTGAAATAGTGCAACCTGACTGCTAGGCAGCAGTAGGGAAGGAAAAGGAATGCAGGGGACAAAGACAGCATGTGAGAAACAAGGGACTGTTGGATTACTTTTGGAGAACCATTGACCAGACTGTTTTCACAGAGTCCAAAACTACTTTAGGACAAAAGTATTGCAGATAGTAAATATACCACTAAAGAGTTTACATGCTGCCCTGGGATTCTCAAATTTATATAGAGCTGTAATAGCCCCACTCTCAAGTTAGCCACAGGTCAATGTGACCCTCATCCTACATCAGGGCTGGGTTTTAGGCTACTTTTTGGACACCATGAGACCTATCCCACCGAAGATATGCTATTCCCCTTTGCCTGTGGCAAATTTTCCACAGGGGAGTCATGAACTTTAGTGATTTGCATTCATATCCACTTCTCCCCTTCCCAGTTTCCAGTTCCCATAGGAAACCCACCCACTGAGTCAGGGACATAAAGATCTGCAGAACATTTATAGTCCTGGTGCAAGTCCCCTCTGCTGTTCCATATGTCCAGTAGCATCTGTTATGCCTCAAAATAGGTTTTTGCAGTCTCCAGGTTTTGAAAACATTGCCTCAGTCTCCACAAAATTCCCACTGCTTTGCCTGCAGCATGAGAACAGATCTCAACTAAAAGGAGGGAGAATATCAGAAGACATTCTTGGACAGATTTTTGATAGGTGATGTAACAGGGCATACCCCAGAAAGACAAAGTATCTTGTCGTGGGGAAGAAGTTCTCAGTTTCTCCTCTGTGGGAAAATCAAGGCAAAGCTAAGCATCTGGTAAAAGATTTGCCAAAAGCTGGGAAACTGAAGAACCACTGAGATTTTGTGGTTCAAAACCCAGTACTGCCAACCTTGGCACACATACCAGAGAGGGGGAAGGGCCCCGCTAGATGTCATTGAGCCACACAGTCAAAATGTAGAGCAAGGGGAGAGTGAAATCTTCCACTTCATTTGTGATCTTCAGGCAGATGGCTGGGTTGCACTAGACATCTCCCTGCGACACACAGGGCAGAGGAAAGCAGCTCAGTCTCAAGAAGCAGAAAGATTCCCACTGACCCCAGGGACTGCTGGGGTCAGCCGGGAAAAAAGAAACACAGTACTTAAGCTGCATTGCCAAATGTTCTGGAAGGACAAGGGTAAAAGCCAGCCCCCTGCATCCATTGGAAATGATTAATAAAGTCTGAAAGAATATGTCAATTTTCTCTAATATCTAAATTTTCCTGGAGAAACAGCAAGCACAGCACTCCTGTTTGTCCACAGGGGCCTGGCCACATATTCACAAAATCAGCCTCACCTCCCAGCCACACCCAGGGTGTTAAACATTCATGACCCAGCACATGAAAGCCTTATAGCTTGGCTGATGGTGGGAGAAGTTAGAAATCCAGACCTGAAAAGACATCACAAGCCAGATCCTGCTATAAGATCCCATGCTAGGCAACACTGCCTGTGCAAGTATCCTTAACTTAAAGCAGCACCCACATTGCTCAGACTGGGAGGCCCCTCCAGAGAGGGTTTATCACCACTTGCTGTTCCCAGCCAGTGCTTATCCTTTTGTTTTCATGTCAACACCATACTTCAGCTTAAAAAGTTTAAGTGCTCTCAGTTACAGACTGCAATCAGATGTCCTACATGACATGCTAACTAGTTCTTCCCTTTCCCCTGCAGGAAACAGTTGCTAGAAAATTACCCCACTTGGGATAAAGCAAGGTGTTGCTACCAGCCTTTAAAAAGACAGTGATTACCTGGGTGGGGAAATTCATAAAGCACGGGAGTAGCAAACCTTTCCCTAGCAGGAAGAAGAAGAAAATTAATTAAACCGTCAGTTAGACCCAGAACTGAAAGTCTTAACAATTTGCAGGGCATGCTGTAACCTGCAAAGGAAGCCCTTTTGGGAAGTCTAAGCCCAAAGAACTAAATGGAAGCTGGCAGATCTCTATCTTGCACTGTGTACTAAAGGGTCACTCATTTCAGACCCCTGCACACTCTGCATACTCAGCACTTGCTGTAATGCCAGCCCCAAGCTGCTGACAAGCTATGTTGTTAAGACTGGATGTAGGTAGGGAAACAATGTTTTCACTGGAAATAGGTGGGAAGAAGGGTCAGGTTGCATGTGTGGGTGGGAGGGACAGAGGAGGAAATCATCTGGACAGTGGAACTCCAGCTCCACGGGTGAGCAGAAGTGGAGCTTGTGTGCATGCAAGGCAAGCCCAGGAAGAAGCCAGGCCTGCAGCCAACAGAGGCCAAAGGAAACATGAAGAATAAACACTCTCCAATAGGAAAGGATCCAGCCCTCATATTCAGTGGCTAGGAGGGGACGCTGCAAATCTGCGACCATAAGCATCCATAGCACCCCCTAGAAAGACAACCCCATCATCCTCAGATGTCCACAGGTACCTATTGCTGCAAGCCCAAGAGCAGAACCTGTCTCAATAACTTTCTAAGTTACCAGTGGGCCAGAATAGGTGCAGGCTCTCTCTTTTTTTTTTTTCTGTTAATAGGAAAAAAATCCTAGAAAGAACAAATTCTTGAACATTGTGAAGGATACCCAGGGGGATTTCAACTCTCAGATACAAGACAATGGTCTTGGGGAAAAATATGTGCCATTGTGGGCTATTCCTCTGTAGATCTGAGTTCCCCTAAGTTTTTTAAGGTTACATGGTAACTCTCATGGAAAGAGCAGAAAAACCCATGCAGTCCAATTTTCACCATGTGAGCTGACATCCAGTCTTTGAAGAACAGAGCTGTGACTGACTAACATGGAGTTTTAGGCCAAAAAGCAAATGGACAAGGACTGAAAGGAGGAAGATGGTGAAAAGTCCCAAGAGAGAAGCATTCCAGTCTTTCCTGGGCCAAAGAGCTTTTGAGGGTAAGAGACGTAGTTCTACTCATGGAGAGAAGAAAACATCTCATTCAAATCATCAAGACAAAGTGATCCCATAGGAAGAGAGTTCCTGAAAAGGAATCACCCAAGCAACACTCACATAAGTTCCATTCAGCAGACAGACCTTGAAACACATGTTTATTTACCCTTTTTTAATCCCAGAATCTTTTTTTTTTTCCCCAAGGGGCATTTTGGATTATGGTGTACAAAACTGGCTAAGTATGCATTGCAGTTAGAGTCCAAATGCAAGAAGAAATCCAAACTGAGTCTCTAACCTAAGAGGCAACCTGGGAGCCATATTTGCTCCTTTAACAGCTGTGTCTTTCCCCAAAGTTTTGCACTCAAAACAGCCATAAAGTGCTTGTAAGGCTTCTAGGACAGAGGCAGCTAGCAGGATCATGAGGCACAGTTATACAAGTATGACCATCCTGTAAGTGAACGTGCTGGAACATCCTGAATCATGAGCTTAGCTTGACTCAATTACTTCCCCATGCTGCCACTAGCACTCTCCTCCCTTCCATCTGATACAGTAAAGAGGTCACAGAATCATAGAACAGCTGAGGTTGGAAGTGACTTTGGGAGAACATCTGGTTCACCCCACCTGCTCAAGCAGGGTCACCTAGAACTGGCTGCCCAGGTCATCTTTATGGTCCTAAGCAGTAGCAGTAGGTTAAGGAGAAAGTGCCCATGTGCCCATACTTGTTACCCAACACCTTAACCTCAAGACACTTAACCAGGAATGCTAAACCCATCTTTTCCAAATCCTGTTTCAAGGCAAATTATCTGCACAGCTGGGAGATGAAGCTGCTTATTACACCGTCTTCCCCTTTCCCTCAGAAACAATATTTTCAGGCTGTGCCCGCATGTACCATTCCACCCAGGCCCCATCGTACACAGCAACATCTGGTTTGCCACAGAGGTATGCCCCAAGAGCCACGTGGCAGGCAGTGACCCCAGAGCCACATGTGGCTACCACTGGCTTTAAGAGGTCCACCTTCTTCTCCTGGAACAGACTGCGGATCTGCTCAGGGGTCTTCTCTAAGCCAGACTCTGTGAGGAAATCGGTGAAAGGGATGTTCATCGACCCAGGGACATGACCAGGCTCAATTCCTGGAGGAAAAGCAATACAGATAGGAATTAACCTCTACTGTCTGGGACAAATCCATTGCAAAACCTGTTCTCTGTTTCACTGGGAGGAGTATTTGTTGTTTAGTGTATTTTGTTAAAACAAATACATTTATTTTTGTTAAACTTTACTAGATTACTGATGACTCAGGAAGGATAGCTCTAACCTTCAGGTTACCACATGGACACAATCCTGTCAAGTTCTGTTCTTCCTCCCAGTTCCCTCCACATCTTCCCCACATCAAAGCAACTCACTCTGATGAGGCACTGACTGAAGCACCTCCACAGGCCATTCTGAGGGCAAGAGCAGCACCAGCACATGAAGAGACCAATGAGTATGTTCGAGGTGTATGAAAGCTACATTCCTCACCCCAGCCCCTCATGAGAAAAAAAATACACAGCTTTCCCACTCCTGAATTTTCAAAGAGCAGCACTTGCTAGTCAAAAGGAGAGGAGGACAGGTGGATACATTGCCTCAAGTCCCATCCCATAAAGGACAACCATACTTCCCTTCATTACCTCTACAGGACTCAAAGAGATGGGCACCTTAAATGAAGCCCCTTTTAATTATGCCAATGTCTCAGGAGGCACATTACCATCTCGGGGCTCTGGCTCTACCCCCTGGAAGCGTCCTGCAGCGCGCGCGTCCACTAGCTGGAAGCGGTGGGAATCCAAGTTATCCAAGACATCCTCGTAGGTTTTCACCAGGGACTTGTCCAAGGAGGCATGGAACTCAGAGGGAGCTACCTGGCTTTTGCCAGAGCTCAGCGCATTCCCCTCTCGCTGCCAATTCTTCAGGCCGCCATCCAGAAGGGAGACAGCTTCATGTCCGAAGGCCCGGAACATCCACCACACCCGAGGTGCTGAGAAGAGGCCTTGGTCGCTGCCATCATACACCACAACATGGGAATCATTCCCCACACCCAGCTTCCCCACATACTCAGCAAAGTCGTCAGCCTTGGGCAGCATGTGATCGTAAGGTGAAGTACGGTCGCTGCACTGGTCAATGTCAAAGAAAACTGCACCAGGGATATGGCGCTCCTCAAATTCCCGCTTCGGGTCACGCTTCATCTTTGGCAAATACCAGGATGCATCCACAATCCTCAAGGCCAGACCAGCTTGCTGGGACTTGATGGCTTCTGAAAGCCATTTTGCAGACACCAGAGCACGGTAGAGGAGTTGTTGCGACATTGCTTCCGAGTCCTGGCCGAGATTACCCGATTCCTGGGGTCTGCCTAAATCCACCTGACTGCAAAAGGAAGAGAGTGGCAAATTAGAGACGAGCCTTACAAAAGGCAACTGGACAAAGATGCATTTTGGGACCAAAGACCTGCATCTGCACTGAGGTGCTGGCTAAGCCTACAGCGAGGGGTCTGAAACGCTCCAGCCCCGAAAATAAGTTTCGCAGAGCTCGGCCCAAAGCCTGCCCCGAGCGGGACAGCCACGGCACAATCCTGCCCTGCACCCAGCCCCCTGTAGCCCACCCGGCCCCTCCAACCTCCAGCGACCACCAGCCAGCGCTAACACCAGCGGAGGGGACCGAGCCCCCCACCGCTCTCACCGCCCCGGACCACATCTCTCAACCGAGGCCTGACCGGGCGCCCTGGCCGCCCCTCAACACAAGCTGAACCCCCGCCGCCACCCCTCCCGTCCCGGCGGCGGGGCCGCGGTTTTCGCCTCCGCGTAGCAGCGGCGTGAAGGAGCGGGGCAGCCCCGTACCTCCGTGCTGGGCTTCAGCCGAGCAGCACCCGCCCTCAGTCCCCGCCAGCCATGGCCGCCGCCGGGGAAGCCGGAGCCCTCCCAGCGGGCCGGTCCCGGGCGGTGCAGCCCGCCCCTGCGCCGCCTCCTCGGGCGGCACCTCCCGGTTCGCGTCCTCCCTTCGCGCCGCCGCCGCCATTTTGTGTGTGTGTGTGTGTGGTCCCACGGGCGGCGCCCCCTCTCGGCCTCCGCCCTCCGAGATGGCGCCTCAGGTGCTCGGCAGGGCGCTGGTCAGCGCCAAATGGCTCTCGGAGGCTTTGCGGGCCGGGCGGGTGGGGACCAGCCTGCGGGTCCTGGATGCTTCTTGGTACCCGCCGCAGGAGCGAAACGCCCGGCAGGAATTCAAGGAGAGGCACATCCCTGGGGCGTCCTTCTTCGACATCGAGGAGTGCCGGGACCAGTCCTCCCCGTACGACTTCATGCTGCCCAGCGAGTCCCACTTCGCCGACTACGTGGGGCGGCTGGGGGTCAGCAACGACACCCATGTCGTGGTGTATGACGGGGACGACCTGGGCACCTTCTACGCTCCCCGCGCCTGGTGGATGTTCCGGGCTTTCGGGCACAAGGAGGTCTCCGTGCTGAATGGCGGCTTCAAGAACTGGGTGAAGGAGGGCCACCCCGTCACGGCGGAGGTCAGCCAGCCCGCCCCGGCCGTCTTTAAGGCCAGGCTGAACACAGCCCTGCTGAAGACCTTTGAGGAGATGATGCAGAACGTGGGGTCCTTGCGGTTCCAGGTGGTGGATTCCCGCCCCGAGGGCCGGTTCCGGGGGACCGAGCTGGACCAAGGTAACGGAGGTGGGAACGGCACCTGCTCCCCGCACCAGAGCGGGATGAGTGTCGATACTAGTCTGGGTGGAACAACTCGTCCCAGCCCGCAAACAGATTTTCCTAATGCACAGGCGTGCCTCAGCCTAACTTGTTGATTTACCTTAAGGGATCCACAGTTGAGCATTCAGATCCCAAGTGCCCTCAGAATGCTTTTCTTGTAGTTGTCTGTAAAGCTGCAGGAGGAAATAGCAGAAAAGGTCTGCAAGTCGGTTGGCTCCAGGATCCCCCATCCCACACCCTGCAGAAGTTAATCAGACAGAATGCAAACACGGGAGGTGGGAGCCCCCACGGGTTTGTTCGGGGTCCTATCTAACACCAGCAGACACGCACAGACTATCAGTATTCATACAGGCACCTCTCACCATAATGAATGCACCAGCAGAAGCCCAGGGTTTAGGCAATACAGTAACCCAAGGGACATTTTCCTTCTTGCTCTGGTTCCCAGCAAATGAGAGCTTGCTCGAGCTGATCTTTGTCTTTTTGCTCTCTGCCATTAAATCTAACAAACTTAAGCAAGAAAAGCCCCAAACCCTTCCCGAATGTATGGGCTGTCAACCTCTCTCTTCTGGATGCCCCAAGTAACAGCAACAAAAATTGATTTTGTTATGTCAGTCAAACACATGCAAGCAGCGGGGAGCCGGTGGGGGGGAGTCCTGTGCAGTGGGGACAGCTGGTACAGCAATGTGCCTGGAACGAAATTCAAGTTGGTTGTTAAAGGAGGCCCTTACAGTGTAATTTAAGCCTTGGTATATCCCAGAATAACCTCTCCTCCAAAAGGGAATCACAGAAATGGTTTAAAAAGAAATGCAGAGTTTCAAACACAAAACACAGGAAAGCTCAGCAACAGTTGTTGGGTCTGAGTTGAGCTGCACGCTGTAGGAGCAGGTGTGCGGCAGGCTTCTGCGGTCCTGAGGCAGTGCTGCACTGCTGCCTTGCAGGTCAATTGTCATTCTGTTCTGGCTGTTTTCTTATGTGTGTGCTGCTGGACAGCCATTGAGTGTCACACCGTGCCCCGAAATAAATTCCTGCATCTGAACTTCAGGAGCATTTGGCTGTAAATGGCTCTGTACACGTGGTTTGCATAAGTGTCTACAGTGAGCCCCCCCCCAAACACACTCGACCTGTGCAAGACAATGCTGAAGGTTGAGCGAGGTAATGGGAGTGACAGAGGATACTTGCAGGGAGAGAGGGGGAGTTACGTTTATCACTCATTCTCTTCACCTACTGCAGCCCATCAAAGTGAAGGTTGAATTTTAACCTTAAGACATGAATAAAACGCTCCTCACTGGGAGCTGGTGGATTTCGCGTTCTCTTTCCCAAAGTGGAGGTTGTCATCAGGTGACAAATACCGCAGCCCCTGTCAGCATCTTGAAAACAGATTTTTCCTTTGAAATGAGTCAGCATGGAACAGTTTATTCGTGGTGGTCCAGTTTTGCTTCCCACAGCAGATCCAGCAGGATAAGCACTCCAGCTGCAGCTGCTTGTTCCACAGGACCTTGACAGCCTTCTGAACCAGGCTAGCCAGTAGCTGCACTACAGGCAGCAGTGGGTAAAAGGCAGCGCTTACACCTAAAAGAGCAATTTGAAATCAATGCTCATTAATTACACGGGTCATCCAATCAGGGAGGAGAAACGTTGCCTGCAATTTAGAGAAGAATGGTCTTGAGGTGATTTCAGTTTAATTATTGCCTCAGCTCTTGACTTCCTAATTAAGTCAATTAATCTCTCCAGTTACATGAACTCCATCTCTAGAAGAGGCTAATTTCAGCTGACTCTTTTGCCTCTTTAGTTTTTCAGCTCCTTGTGGTAAGAATTAGTTGTCCCTGTTTTATTTTTATGCAGCAGCTACCTTGCTGGGATTTAGACCTCTGTAGCGTTCAAGATAAACCATAATACATGGCTAATTTTTAGTTGCTGGGAGGCGTTTACCCAGGTTGCCAGAGTGGAAAAAAAATGGATGGTGTTTCTGTAAGCCAGGTCTCATAGGTCTTAAACGCAGGTATTGCTCTGGATGAAAAAGCTTGGATGTTCATGCATGGTGTGCAGCATAAACCCATCAGGTGTGCAGCCCTGACCTATGCACTGAGTGGTTCAAGGTGTCCCTGCACAGTGCTGTGTTTCTGGAGGAGCTAGCAACTCGGTCCTGCTCGCTAGCTGTGATTCAGCAACGGACCAGCCAGGTTCTGCAAGGGCCTGCTTACACAGGTGCTGCAGGGTGCAGGTCTGTGGAGCCAGCCTGAACTGAGACAGTCCCAGGCAATCCAGGGACAGCTGATAAAAAAAATTCCATGATGGTTACCAATGCTGAGTCTCTCTGAGTATTCGGCACTGAAAACCGGGGAACAAGAATTATGGCTCAACAAATGCATACAGAAAAGTTGTGAATTTCTGAATTCTTTTGCAGACACCTGAGAAAAGAGGGGAAGGTTGCCAGACAAGAAATCCGTTATCTAAAAAAGAAAGCAAACCCAAAGTCGTTTCACGAGCTTCCAACTATTTTTCTTCTCATTCTCAGCCCTTGGGTAGTCCTCGTCTCCCTTGCACATATGCAACTCTTAAGGTTTTGCCCATTTTCCCAGATCTCAGTCCTCCCTGCCCCAAACATAAAGCTTTTGCTCATATTGAATGTTCAGTGGCAGTGGGAGTGTGAATGAAATGTTGCTGCTTCTTCCTTCTCTTCTCCAAGTGGAGTCTGCAGCTGGGAGTGGACAGGCTCTACTTGGACCATGAAGTAATACTCAAGGCACAACACAGAGAGTGAAAGACTTCATCAAAGTCTGTCTCAACCCACAGGAACCTACTATCCAAAACTGTCTATTCATGTGATGAGGGTGACAAACATCAGCTGCCAGAATTAGCACCATGGCTCTGCTGGTTCTTAGGGGGTTTTCTGGCTGTATACGCACACAGTACTTTGACATTGGTAGCAAAGGCCTATTGATCTGACTGTGAGGACTCTCAGGGAGCTGGCCGGGACCAAGGTTAAAGTGTTCCTTCCAATGAGCTCATGGTAGGTTAGGTGAGATCACTAATGGTCCCTTCTGAGGCATACAGTTTGAATGGAAGAGAGAGATAAGAAAGGAGGCAACAGAGGAGGCATTTGGAAAGGAACAGCTGTCTGCAGCCAGCCAACTCCAAGACCAAGGGGAGTTAAATGTGCACAAGGCACATCTTTTATCTTTTTGACATTAAGAAATTCCATTTGGAGCTTTCATCGCAGAGGGAAAGGCTAGAGAGAAGGGGCTGTAGTCTTAGCTAGATAAATAGCCAACAAAAAATATATATATTTAAGCAGAGAATCTTAACAGATGTGGAAAAGGGGATTAAGCAGTGAAGAAGATAACCTATTACAGGTTACAAATTGTGAGGGAGGATTGCCAGAAGCCAAGCTGAGTGAGACTTGGCAAAAGGAATTAAAAAAATAACAAAAACTGCTGGAGCAAAGTGAATAAAAAGAGAACAAGGAGAGAAGGAGTAAATAGGGTTGCTATGCAGTTAGCAGGGGTTCCAGATGAAAGATTATTTGTGTACAGCTTCAGAATTATACTGAGTCTGTGCTACGATCTTTTTTTTCTCCAGAGGATAAGTCTGCAGAGTAGGAGGAGGGGTAGCAAGAAGAAGGGGAAAGAGCAGAAATTATAATTCTTAAAGAGGGAGTATAACCAAAAGATATCCATGTGCTCAAATTTGTCAGGCAGATGATCTCCATCCCAAATAAGTGTCAAGAATCAGTCATGTGACATTGCAACTGCATGAGGCAAGAATTTAATAAATTTAATCAGAGCATGGTTCTGTAGGACAGAAGCACTAGCAAAGTTTATATTTGTATTTAGGATAGGAGGTACAGCACAACCTAGGCAGCTGTTGATCTATTATCATAACATGGATAGACTGGAAGACTTTCAAAAAATGCTCAAGAAAAATTATTTGAAATGAAGTCAAAATTGAATAAAATACCTCATTAAACCTGTACAGCAGCTAGGGGCTCTATTTCCTTGCCAACGTAATTGATTTGCCAGATAAGAGAAATGGGAACATGCATGCCTGGAAGTTATGTCTGATCTTTTCTTGCAGCCATTGGAAGCACCTGTGAGGTAGATTTTTTCCATTTGGACTTCATTAATACTTTGGACATAGTATTAGAGGGGTAATTATTAGTTCAGTGTGAGAAGAGGGCAGTGATAGAAGAGACAGGAGGTATAATGCTACAGAGAGCAAGGTTGGATGCTTAGTAGCCCAAAACACTTAATTGCTTGTGTTTCTCTTAGAAGCTGAAGACTCACATTTGGAGGCAATAGAAGAGCATAAGACTTGGATGAATTAGTTGGGTGCAAGAACCTCAGATGCAATTTGGCCTTGACGACAGCAATTATTAACCTCCTGTCTACCAATGGAGATGCTAGGAAATGCCACTTCCTTATCCAGAAACCTGGTGGTCACCTAGAACTGTTTCTAGCGTGGCTGAGGCAGTGAAAAGCATATCTAATGAGCTCTTACTGGGTTTAGGCTAAGGGCATGAGGCTGTTGGGAGAGCTGAGTGCTCGCCGTCAGTATGTTGGAGCAGTAGCAGAAAGGGAAAAAAAACCATTTCAGCTGCAGGGCAATGTTAGCTCAAGGATAAATGGTGTTTGGACTGACTGCAATGAACTTAATGTTGGAAATGAATATTCCTCCTCATGTGAGCAAGGAGGTGCCTCAGCGGAAAGTTTCATGGCAAGAATCCAAACTGCTTCTGAGATGGATGCTTTTATGAGAGCAAGCCTATAAAGTGATCACTGTAGTCACTGGGAGACAGGCTCTGTAATCCTAGGGTTCCTTCCTGGAGTTACTAAGGGTGACTGCATGAATCTGGCATGGAGTATGCTCTGTGTCATATGAGGCAGAGGCAGATGTATCCTCTCCCCTGTTCAGATCCCAGCTGCCTCCAGCCTTGCCTTCCAGTCCTGTGTTTCTCTGCTCTTGTCCTAGCAGAGAGAGAGAGCTAATAAAACTTCCTCAACCACTCAAGAGCACTTCTTAGGCAGTCCAAGGGCTTGTGGTTGTGCAATGTCAGCTCTTCCTTTCAGCTGAACTTCCACATACATGAGTAAATGCAGTTACTACAGAATTCCCCATCTTTCACTCGCAGAGTACAAGCACTGGTCTCTGACTCCAACAGAATTTTTAATCTCTGGAGCAAGGAAGTCTCTCTGTAGTTTAAAGTAAAAAATGCTCTAAAATGAGACTTCTTTTCAGATCTGCTCAGCTCCTAACTGAAGAGTTGTTTAAGGGTGGTGAGTGTATGACACAGCAGTCTCCAATAAGAGAGAGGTATAAACCATATTATTTTAATATGTGTGAACAATCTAGAAAAGTGATCATGACCATGGGGCCTGGGACACCTAAGAACTGAATCAGTGGCCCAGCAAGCTTCTTTGAGCAAGAGCTGGCCCTTCTAGTTCAGCCTCCAGGACTTCTTGATCTCAGTACACTTCCCAGTGCCCTAGGATGGTGTGAGAGTGTTGTTCTGTGGCCCACAGACTTGTCT